TCTTCCTTGAAGCGGGGAAGCTTTCGAAACTTCCCCCCATCGGGCTTTTTGTCCATCTTTTATTTATTCTAAAAAAAAAAAAAACTAGCATAAAGTCTGTCAACGCCGCTCGAGTGTCCGGAAGTGGCGAGCGGGGGGAGCGAGAAAAAAAAAAGCGGAGAAAGGCATGAAAAAAGAGGTCAAGCGCAGCCAACTTTTCACCCGGACATTCACAGAGAGCCTCGACGCCGTCCTGACCGGACCCTCGGCGTCCTTTTCGGCTTAGTTTGTGGTCCCCCTCCGCCCCGCTCCGTTTTCCGAGGATGGGTCTCCCGACGCTGGAGTTCAGCGACTCGTTTGTGGACAGCCCCGAGTTCCGAGAGAGGCTCCAGTGCCACGAGATCGAGCTGGAGAGAACCAACAGGTTTATCAAAGATCTCATCAAAGATGGAAGCATGCTCATCTCGGCTCTCAGAAGTAAGATCATTTTACAATAAGCTAAAAAGTACCAGATTGTAATTCTTGCCGTGTTCCAATTGCTTTCTTTGAGGCTGCCCTTGAAAAGCTCCAAAACAGCCATGCTGACTTTTACTGCCCTTTACTCTGTTTTATTGCCCGAAAGACATTTACAGTCTGATAAAACTTTATTGTTACCTTATTTTTATTGCCATTATTATCGTCATCGCGCCTTGTTAATTCAGCAAGGGTTTTCAAACCGTGGAAGGTGGGCTGTTGCTGGTCCCAGAGAAAACCCCAAAGTGGTCTGGAAGGTGATTTTTACAATGTAAATGCGAATACTCAAATGATACTGCAATCTTTTCTGACTAGTATCAAGATAAGTACTCTTGTTTTTTGTACTTTGTTGAATTTTACTACAAGTATCACCACTACATTTAGTACTGCAGCTACCAGTACTGCCTCTACTTTTAATCGGCTACTACAAGTATTATTACAACTTTCACTTGAACTATTACTTGTACTATAACTACTTCTGATTTTGGTACTACAACTTTTACTCTCTTCTACTTTTGTTACTACAATGATACTGTTTAACTTTAACATTGCGAGATGAATAAAGGTTTTCTTATCTTATCTTATTAAAGCATTTGCTGTTGCTGAAATTGAGGTCACGTTTGCTGTGCCTTTGTCAGGTCTTTCCCAAGCGGTGCAGCGTTTCTCTCAGTCACTGCAAGAGTTCCAGTTCGAGTGCATCGGAGATGCCGAGACGGACGACGAGATCAACATCGGTGGGTTTGACCCCATTGCACACTTTTCTTTTTTTTTCTCAGCTGTACAGATGCCACATTTGCTCAGCCTACTCTCAGTATATGTGGTGGTATCGGATGTCATGGCAAAAGGAATTTGCCAGCCTTGGGACCCTAATGTGAAACTCTAACAATATCTTAAAAACCTACTCGGAAACCCTAATTTCAAATCCTGACCAGTGTTTGAAATTTGTACCTAATATGAGCTTCTCATGTTAAACCCTAACCATGTCTTGATTGTAAAATTCCATCGCAACCTTTGCGTCAAAACCTAACCCAGGCTTAAAGCACTACTTTGAAACCTTAACTCTGCCTTGATGCCCTTAAAGGGGTAGTCAAGGTAAAGAATATCTTTTATAATAATAGGCTTTGTGCACCCCCCCGCTAGTCTCAGCATAGTATTCAAATCAATATTGCATTTTAACCTAACCACAGATTGAATCCCTAAACCAGACATGAAACCCTGACCCTGGTTTTTAACCCCTATTGAAACCCTAACGGTACTTTGAAGCCCCAACCAAAGCTTGAAACCCAAAATCAAACCCTTGAAAGTGGGACATGGCTCCATTAGAGCTCAGGCCACTATTTGATGACGTCGACAAGTCCTACTGGCCTTTTAGAGCAACTAAAAGCCCAGCAGAACAGCCCTTTAAGCAATGTCGTTTCCATAGCAACACCCAGACTCTGACTTGTATTTGCACCCTGGCTGCAGCCCAGTCTCTCAAGGAGTTCTCTCAGCTGCTGAGCACCGTGGAGGAGGAGAGAAAGCGTCTGGTGAGTAAGCGGCTCACTTCATGCCTACTGCGCTCCACCTGTTGTGTCTGAACTAGTACTTCCTGTTTCGAGTTCAGCGGGAAAGTTTTTCTCCGGAACCGTGACTCTTTGCTTGAGTTCCCCGCCTGCAGATAAGTCTGTGACTCAGCCACACTTCATCAACCTTTGCGTCAGAGTGTGTGTTTTAGTGCGCTACGTTCTCGACAGGGTCCCTCTTTGTGTGTGCTCGCGAATGTGCGCCTTTTGTGAAAGTGTGCACGGTCTACCGGTTGAGGAACCATGTGGAACGTATTCCGACAATTCCCCAGTGAGAGCCGAGCCCCTCGCTTCATGGGAAAGTCTATAAAAGACTCCTGTGTGTCTGTGCGCGCGCTGGTTTTTTTTTTTTTTTTTTTTTTCACGGCAGCACTTAAGTTCCATATTCCACCACTAATGTTTTCTATAGGCAGCGCGGTGGACTAGCGGTTAGCAAAGCTGCCCAGGCTTCAAGCCCTAATTTGAACATTGCATTCTTAACACCGACACTGTGTCAGAAACGGCCCCTAAAACAGAACATTAATCATAGTTAGTCTCGTGGTATCCAATTTCATGGGGGCTGTTGCGGTGCAGCGGCGAAAGCAACACAAAAGAAAGTGTTCCTTTCACACAAATGACCTCATGATGTGAAACTAAAGTCGCGGCATGTGACCGGAGAGTTGTGTGGTTGCAAACACTAAAAGTGTGGACAACAGCTGCCTTATCACAGATCACATGCCCCTCAGGCGTACGGCAGATGTTATTGCTTTTACAACATCATCAGCCTGCTTGGGTCAGACGAGACCCGAGTGTCATCCACGGATTCAGTTCCAAAAAGCAATTGGCTACGCCAGCGACATTAAGTAGCGGTGACATCATCAAGTGGCGACAAGAAGTCGACACGGTGAACAACAATAGAGGAAATCATTTTGTTTTTTTTGTTTCGCCTTCTAGGAGTGACCATTTTCTGTCCGCCATGATCAGTATGCCGCTGTGCGTGTAGTCAGACACCTTCGCTGACACACAGACAGTCGCAACTCCCCAATTCACGTAACAACCGCAGGCCAGAGTTAGCCTCATAGCGGGAAGACGGCGTGTGTGTGGACGATGACCGTGACATGTTACTTCATCACTGTTGCGACATGCATTACATTTTTTTTTTTTCCTCCCACAGATCCAAAACGCTGACAACGTGCTAATCTCGCCGCTAGAGAGGTTTCGCAAGGAGCAGATTGGCGCTGTAAAGGTACAACTGCATTTAAAAAAAAAAAAAAAAAAATTCACTGTGTGCTCAGTCCGCCTGCCATTTTGGCCGGGTCTTTCACAATAAGACAAAAATGTCTCAAGGACCTAAAATTGAGCAAGAAGTCGGCCATTTTGTTTCGAATCCAGACGGAATTATTTTTCTTCTGTACTTAATTAATCCAACTTCAAATTCTTGCGCATTTGTGAATGTCTGAGTTGTTTAGAGCAGTAGGCAGTCCCGCGGTGCCCCAGTCCAAGTCTTGAGTGTGTGGCTCGTTCCGATAAACCACAAACGTTTCAGGACGGAGGTCATGGGAACGGACGCTGGGAGGCGTGTCACAGACTTGAAGCGAGGCGATGTAAACATGGCCGGTGTCTGGTTTCGGCGGGCAACCTCTGATCCACGTTATCTTCTCTTCAGCCTGCAATGAAGCAGAAGGCTTGCGGCCATCATCCCTTAGGGGCCTTTTTGAGATAGCGAACAATAATAAGTTTTTCTTCTGTACTTAATTAATCTAACTTCAAATTCTTGCGCAGTTGTGAATGTCTGATGAGTTGTTTAGAGCAGTAGGCAGTCCCGCGGTGCCCCAGTCCAAGTCTTGAGTGTGTGGCTCGTTCCGATAAACCACAAACGTTTCAGGACGGAGGTCATGGGAACGGACGCTGGGAGGCGTGTCACAGACTTGAAGCGAGGCGATGTAAACATGGCCGGTGTCTGGTTTCGGCGGGCAACCTCTGATCCACGTTATCTTAGGGGCCTTTTTGAGATAGCGAACAATAATAAGCCGTGAGAGTTTGGATGTGCTGTCACCGGAAACCCCCAAACTGAGATAAACGATTCTAAGGCGACTTTTTACCTCAGATAACCCAGCCATCGGTTCCATCGGCCGTATTGCGTCAGACGTCACTCAGAATAAGGTATCGATGTTAGCTAATTCAGTTTTAGCCTATCACCGCAATTTAGAACATAGCGTTGATATTTCGCAATAATTTTGTTATCCTGTTTCCACTCATTTGAACAGTATTGATTGACTTGACTGATTCCAAAACTAGTAATCTATTAATTGTTGTGTACAACTGATAATTGTGTGGTTTCACTGTCATAACGGCACTCCGAGGGAAGATGTAACTCCAAATTGTCCCGCGACGAAAATGAGTTTGACACCCCTGGTTAGCTAGCCGGTAAGCTGAGCGCACAACAGCCCACTCGACACTGTCATTCGCTGACTCCCACGTCACTCACCGGGCCGGCCGCCACCTTTTAAGACACCGATAGACCATCCTTAATATTATATCGTGAGGACCATCGTTCAAAGATGAATAGAAATAGACCAGGAACATTTGGACTTCATTTGGGTTTGTCAGTTGAAGGAAGGTGTCAATGTGAGAGTCACCGCTGCCGTCTCCTGCGAGGTGCCATTTAAAAACTAAACGGGTTTCTTGCACGGATGTCTTCCGGAATGACCAGTTTTCTTGCCAGAATGAATAGAAATGGCCCATGAACACTTGATTTTCTGCTGGATACAAAGAAAACAAAACATGCAGAGTTCAGTTTTTGTCCCCACAATTTCCCGGCCATCTCGGGTTACAGTAAATGCCGTATTGAAAATAAATAAGCTTCTTCCTCAATGTCATTGGAAATGAGTAGTTTTCTTGCCCGGATGAATAGAAATGGTCAATGAACATTTGCCTTTGTGGCGTGTAGAAAGAAGTGACCACGAAACACACTGATTTTCACTTTGGACCCGTAATTATCTCAGCCGTCTCATGTTAGGCGCCAATTAAAAAGAAATAGCTTGCTTGGGTCTAGAACAACTACACTGAAGAGATTGTGCTGAGAGTGCAAGCGGCCAGGGCCTGAAAAAAAAAAAAAACTGTCTTGGTTGCTGCTTGTAGAATGTAGCAGCAGCATGTGAGTCGCAGCTGTACGCAAAACTATTTCAACTTTGTCATGTTTGATGGATTCTGTTTAAGCAGCGCAGCTAAATATTGACGAGAACGGACAATTTCGTCTCTCGTCCAGCGGTGATTTATTAAGTATTTTTTTTTTTTTTTAAATAATTCGGTTATCTCACTCAGGAGGGCAAGAAGCAGTTTGACAAAGAAACGGAACGGTACTACTCTGTGTTGGAGAAACACCTCAGCCTGTCCTCCAAAAAGAAGGAATCGCAGCTACATGAGGTAAAAACACAAACCGGCGCGCACTTGCCTAACGCGCACACACGCGGCCCTGTGATTGGCTTGTTGTCGTCGTCGCCGCAGGCCGACTCGCAGATGAGCAAAGACCGGCAGGTGTTTAACGACGCCTCGCTGCAATATGTCTTCAAGATCCAGGAAGTACAGGAGAGGAAGAAATTTGAGTTTGTGGAGCCGGTGAGGACACACACACACACACACACACACACACACACACACACACACACACACACACACACGCTAGCAAGACGCCAAGGCAACAACTCTTAAAAAAATGTGTTTGTATGAGTTGACTGTGAATGTGGCATGGAATGAATTAGTGTCAGAACAATTGGGAACGTTGAAATAACTGAAGATCAGAGACGAAGTCGGCGAAAGTTTTTCGGATCCATTTGTAGGAGACTGGACTGTTTCAGAATTGCCTATGTTGATGTTTAAAGAATTATTCCCTTGTTGTGTGTTCACAACAACCCCCCATTAAATTTATTTTGTGATTTCCTCGCTCGATGTTCTGTTTTGGTGTATTATTTTCGATTTTCTTAGTGCCATTGAACATATCATTAATTTACGGTTTTCTGAGGCGGTATTTGAACGCCTCTCGAGCCGAACGAAAAAAAAGGACGGCACGTTGTCGGAGCGAGACATCTGTATTTGTTTGAGCGTTTTAAACAATAAAGTGTACGTTTAAAAAAAAACAACAACAACAACAACACTGCAGCTGTCTTTATTTTGGAGCTGCAACATATCTTCTAGCAAAAGTCCAACCGCACAAGCACCCGACTCTTTGAAGAATGGTTGTTCGTGAAGGTTGCTTGAATCGTAGCATGTGTCAACCAATTCTCAAAAGACCGCGGAACGTCCGAGGAACTCGGTGAAGAAGTAGGGGCAAGATTTTCTCGCAAGATACTAAACGTTGAGCTGCAAAAAAAAAAACAGCACTTCCTGTCCAAAGGATCAGTTGTTTGTTTAAGTTGACCGTGTTAAAGTAGCATGAAGATTGCAAACTGAATGTTCCCCCTGGGGGACAATTATAAATGTTCTTTATCTCTTTTTTTTTTTTTCTCTTCTCATGTAATGACTTTGAAAAGGGGTCCTCTCTGTCACCGCGTCATTGCTTGTGAACTTAAGCGTCATTAGGATCAAAAGCGGAGCCCAAAAGAAAGCCCAGTCGCCAAACACTGTTCTGGCTGCCGATAAACATGGTTTCATGATACATATCAGCGAAGGCCACTTCCTGTTTCGGCCGCGCCGCTTCCTGTGCGGAGATTTCTTCCACCGGCATGGGAGAGAAAGTCTTTGTTGTGAACGTAAACAAGAACGGTGACCCAAACAGCAGCCTGCAGGCTCTTTTTTTCTGTTATGATGATCAATCTGCTTTTGTTGCCGTTGTGCTCTTCAGCTGCTGGCCTTCCTGCAAGGCTTGCTGACCTTCTACCATGAAGGCTACGAGCTGGCCAGCGAATTTGAGCCCTACAAACAGCAGCTGCAGTTCAACCTGCAAAATGTAAGTTCCAACACCCCCGCCTCTTTCTCGGAAAGTATCCCCACAATTGACTGCTTAGCGCGTCGGGCCTCACAGAGCAGCGATGGATGTTATATCGAAGACAAAATAATGTATGGATCCCACTCAAAAAGTTCCGCGAGAGGCTTCAGTCATTTCCCATGCGGCACTTTTAGGCCCGAAACAATTTTGAAAGCACGCGGGCCGAAGTGGAGCGGCTGATGAAGAGGATCCGCTCGGCCGAGGAGGACTTCAAAGCCCCCGGCTCCTTCACCATGGAGGGCTACCTGTACATACAGGAGAAACGTGAGCCAGATCAGACGCTGCGCACAACCTTCGCAGACAAAATGGCATCCGCGCTGTGAACCGGCGTGTTCTTTCAGGGCCGCTGGGCAGCGTGTGGACCAGATACTACTGTACGTACGAGAAGAGCTCCAAGATGTTCACCATGAGCAACACCGAGGCCCGGCCGGCCGGCAGACAGGGGAGCCGCCATTTTGATGACGGGATTCCTGTGTTTATTTCTCCTCTTTGTGTTAATTGCGATCGCACCTGGCGCCGGTGATGATGATGGGATGACGGTAGCCGATTGACGTTTGCAGAACGGCGTGCCGAACGGAGTGCCGGAGATGTTCAGGCTGCGCTCATGCGTGCGAAGGAAGACGGACTCCATCGACAAGCGCTTCTGCTTTGACATTGAAGTGGTGGAGAGGTAACGGAAGCAAGACAGGTTGATATTGCCGCCACGTCTCGGCTTCAATTCGCCTTTTGCCCTTGGCGCAGACACGGCGTCATCACTCTGCAAGCGCTCTCGGAGGCCAACAGGCGACTGTGGATGGAGGCCATGGATGGAAAAGAACCCGTACGACTTTGAGTTTCACCTTGTGTGCCGGTTCTCCTTCTGTAGATTTGACTTGATGTTGACGTTTCTTCTTTTTTTTTCTCCGACCCCTCAGATCTACACTCTGCCGTCTCTGCTCAGCAAGAAGGAAGAGAGTAAGACGGCAGATTTAATCTCATCTCCAGAGCTGCCGGTTTGCATCATTTTCTTTGCATCAGAAGTGTTTTTTTTTTAAATTTGTGCTGTTTTACAGCCTTCCTTAACGAGACAGGCTTCAGCTTTGTGAGGAACTGCATCGAGCTCGTGGAAATGCGAGGTATATCATGGCGAGAAGTAAAACACAGAGTGAAAGAAAAAAACGAATGAACAGCACATTTTGAAAGAATACAGTTAAACCGTCATCAAATGTGAAAACGTTCCTAAATGTGAGTATAGGCCTCAACACTCTGGGCCTGTACCGGACCGGAGGTGTCAATTCCAAAGTTCAGCGGCTGATGACGAGCGTATTTGGTAAGAAGGGGCTTCGTTCTGATGTTATTTCCTATGATGATGATGAACCATGCTGAAATCATGGCTGCTTTTGTGCAGCCTCCACTTCTGCTTCGGACGCACGGCTCGACGCGGACGCTTGGGACAACAAGACCGTCACAAGCGGACTGAAGAATTATTTTAGGTGGCTGCATTTTGACCAAATTAACATCACTGTGGGAAAAAAATGCTCTAATGCTTTACCATGTGTACACACAGGTGCTTGGCCGAACCCGTGCTGACCTACAGACTGCACAAGGAATTCATCAAAGCTGCAAGTAAGAAGGCCTCGAAATAATCACTCACTAAAAATCGATAAAATGGACGCTTTTCACAGAGTATGATGACCAGAAGCATCGCGTGAGGGCGATCCATGCGCTGGTCCACAAGCTACCCGAGAAGAACCGAACCATGCTCGACCTGCTGACCAATCACCTCCTCAAGTTTGTACACAGGAACACATACACACACACACACACACACACCCCTCCACTAAGGCTCGACAAGCTAAAACATGTAAGGTGGAGTTGCACTCCAGTCCTCTGTGTGGCAGTAATGAGCATTATTTAGCTGCCGACCATCACACACAAAACTTTTTTGTTTTCAGTTGCTCAATCTGCTGGATTGCATCACCATTTTTATAAACCCAGTAAGGGCCCTGAACATTTTGAATCTTTTTGAGGATGTTTTATGGAAAAAAAACAGTTCATCCAAGTCCTTGGCGGAACATATCAATACTCCCCTTTTTTTGGGGGTTGTTTATTTTTGTCTGCAGGGTGTCAGCCCACTGCAGCCAGAACCTTATGACAGTATCCAACCTGGGCATGATCTTCGGTCCCACGCTGATGAGGTCGCAGGAGGAGACGGTGGCCGCCATGATGAACATCAAGTTCCAAAATATTGTGGTGGAGATCATCATTGAGAACCACGACAAGGTACACACTTGCACACAATTAGGTCAACACACACACACACACACGTTAACACTTTGTGCTGTGTTTGGCTGTCAGATATTCAGCGAGGCTCCCGACCTATCGCTGCCGTTACCGCCGGCGCCGCCTTCGCGGGCGACCCCTCGAAGGGGCAAGGCCATCTGTCTGTCGTCGGGGAAGAGAAAGGCCCGCCTCTACCCGCCCACCCTCTGCCTGGCGGACAACGACAGTGAGTGCTTTACGCCGACCAAGGTCGAAGACAGACGATACACAATGTTGCTTTATCGACAACAACAGTTTCTCTTTCAAGTTACACACACTCAAGCCTATTATTTTTTATATGCGTGTATGTTCGCTAGGTCAGCAGATAGTTAAGTAGCTAGTTAGGTAGGTTGTCGGGGTGTGCATCTCTCCAGTAAAAGGGGATTTGATAAGATCTTGATACATGGGGTAAAAACACGGGGTACAAACGGTACATTTGTTTTGATTCAGTGGCATTAAGACAAGGAGTTTGTGATTGATCAAAGTGTTTGTCATGTTACATCTCCTACAAAGACTGTCACAAATAAGAGAAAAGAAGACAAAGATTATTTACATTTAAAAGTAGAAACGAAATGTGTACGTACACACTACTAAATACTACTACTACTAAATCCTGTGTAAATAGTTGGTAAAGCTTGTCAAATGTAAAATTGCTACCAAAGCAAATATTCTGAGCATATAAATCGCTGTTGAGCCTAAAAATATCTTCATAAAAAAATTTTCTGCATGTGTTGGTCCAAAATCGGTGATTTGCGTGAAACCATCCCGTTTTCTGCTGCTGATTACAAAAAAAAAAATGTTTTAATGGCTGGCATTGAAAGATAAACACAAATATATTTGTGTTTGTGGCTCCAGGCGACACCTTCAGCAGCAGCAGCCCTGGCACTACCCCGACGGGCAGCCAGGAGTCGCTGTCCTCACACTCCTCAGAGAAGAACGGCGCATCACTGACGGCGTCTCCGTCCTCGCCTACCGCCGAGCCCGGCTCCTCCACTCAAGTCCACCCACCTCCTTCCTGTTCCTCCAACGGAGACGATAGAAAATGGCCGACGGACAAGGAGACGCCGCCACCGGCGTTATCCGCGTCATCCTCCGTGGCATCTCTGCGCTCCACGGCCGAGCGGACGGACTCCACTGTCTCCCTGTCCTCCGCCAAGGAGTCCAAATCGCTTTCCTCCTCATCCACCGTGCAGCTCTCCTCCTCGGGGTCCCCGGCCAGGGAGGCTCGCTCCGTCCCCAGGGCATCGTCCGTCTCGTCCCTGCAGAGCACCCAAGACAAGACGAAGGAGTCTCCGCCGCCTCCATCTCAGCAGCGCCGGACGGCGGCGTACAGGATGGCGTCCTCCTCCTCGTCCTCCTCATCGTCTTTATTCCCTTACCCGCTGTCCACATCCTCCTCACTCACCTCCCTGCACATCTCAGAAGGTACGAAGCATCTTCCCCTCGGACTTGGAAAAAGCACCTTGAGCTTATGTGTGTTTGTTTCCTGTTTCAGACTACCGCAGTTGTCACGGCTCTGTGCAGAGTTTAGCATCACTGGGCCCACGAGAGGCCACACGGACGCGGAAAACTTCACACGTACGACGAAACTCAGACAACCTGACCCCACAGTCTCTGCCCACCAACGGCTACCAGAGGCCAGGATCCGTGTACGTGTCCTCGGGGCGTACTGTTATTATGAATACCTGTCAAGTTCCGGCCTATCTAGTGTTACCGTGGCAACCTCTGTCACGGTGTTCAAGTTCATGTTTTGTGTGTGTTCCAGGTTATCTGTCCGAGGACAAAAACAGCGTGAAAGCTCTGTCTTCTCCTCGGCTTTGGACATTTGTGCTTCCGGAAGGTATGCGGATTCACTTTGTTGTGCCATTTTTTGGAAGTATTAAGTGTTTTGACCCGTTTGGCTTGTCTCGCAGGGAAGCGAAAGCTCTGTACTCCTGCGAGGCGGAGCACAGCCACGAGCTCAGTTTCCCACAGGGGGCGCTCTTTTCAAACGGTAAGAAAAAACAGGTATGGCGTCTTAAATTTTGGTTAGCAGCTGCAGTCAATGACTTACTGCTTATTACCTCTGCCAAGGAAGCTTTGTAAGTGAATTTAACAGGATTACTCAAAAGCTTCTGATCCATTTTCCATTAAACTTGGTGGGACACTAAAGTCTCTGTAATAATCTTAATCTGAATCACATGTTTGGAATTTATTTTGCATCGTCTTTTTTTTTTTCTTTTCTTGGCAGTCCACCCATCGGTGGAGCCAGGCTGGCTCCAGGCGACCTACCAGGGCAGGACAGGCCTCATACCCGAGAACTACATCGCGTACACCTGAATCTCTCTGATGTCATCACTCCACATACACCCAAACATCTGTGATGTCATCACTCCGCTGCCTGACTTGAAGACGTCCATAAAGCGTATCCTGTTTGTTTATCGGTAAACATGTAGCTGAAATCACTGAACTGTGCGACATGACTGATTCTCATCCATGTACTGTGTTTGTCTCACAGCAGTGTTTTTTTTAAATTGTCATAATTTAACTGTTGCTATTGGTCAATTCAACTGTCAGTGTCCGCTCATGTGGGATATGTGGAAATGAACTGTTGTATTGTCGTCCTACTGCTGCCTGACGTGCCTTCTTGTCCTAATAAAGGACTCGTACATTCCCTAGCAATGCTTTCTGGATTATTTCTCTGTTTTAAAAACACCTACGAAAAGTAAAATAATTTAACGGCAAAAGTTATACAATTCACAGTGCGCAATAACTTCATAAAACGCACTCTTGGATTATTTTGTCGTGCAACATGTGCCCATTGGCCAAGCTTTGTTTTTGATTCATGTTTGACAAATAGTGGCGAGATTATGATTTAGTCTCTCGTAATTATGATTTAGTATCTTAAAGCCTACTCGGGTTCTGAAAAAGTATCGCAATACCGGTAAATTTGATTACAAACTGTGCGGAACATTGCACCGCGCCGACCAGTTTCACATGGGACCTTTTTTAATGATACGCTCGGTGAGACTGCGAGGCGCGGTGAATGTCAACAATCTCTTGTGCCTCCCGTGGCGACGATGGATAAGCAAGCCACTGAACCGTTTGAAATTGAAATCTCAGAAGTGGAAAATGGAAATACGGAAGAGCTCGTACCCAAAAGAGGAGCCTTGTCTGTTGTTTGGCGGTATTTTGGTTTCAGAAAATCTGACTTCGACCAAAAAAACATTTTGTGCAAGATTTGCCTCTCTAAAGTTGCAGCCAGTGGCGGCAACACGAGCAATTTGCTCCACCACCTGAGCCGCAGGCATGTCTCGGAATATGAAGAATGTATGAAGTTAAAAACTGCGCCGTTCGCCTCAGCGGGCAACCCAAAATCCCTTCAAGACGCGCTGGCCAGGGGGGCCCCCTACGATAGAAAAAGCAAACGCTGGCTCGACATCACCAACGCTATCACGATCCACCTGGCAAAAGACATGGTTGCGCTCAACACAGTCGAAAAAGAAGGCTTCAAGCAGATGATCAGGACGCTGGACCCCAGGTATGAAGTCCCGAGCGGAAAGTACTTCGGCCAAATTGCGATCCCCAACTTGTACGAGAAGCACAGAGCTAAACTCGGAACGGAGCTGGCGGCCGTCCGCCACTTCGCAGCAACGACCGACATGTGGTTGAGTCACACCATGGAGCCTTACTTTGGCGTGACCGTTCACTTCATAAGCGACGACTGGCTGTTGCAAAGCCATCGTCTGCAGACGAGCTACTTTCCCGATGAGCACACCGGAGAATTACTCGCGGCGGGCCTGCAGGAGGCACTTGATTCTTGGGGGCTTCCGCAGAACAAACTCGTGGCCATCACGACCGACGATGGCGACAACATCAAGAAAGCCGTGGAACTCAACAAGTGGACTGGACTCCAGTGCTTTGGTCACAGACTTCACCGAGCCATCGGTAAGAAATCGTTAATATTGCCATGCGTGTCAGGGCTGCAACTCACAATGATTTCAAGAATTGAGTCATCATATTCCGGACCACATTTTTGCTTTTTTTTTTGTCCTCATAGTTTTGTGTTAAAGTGTAATTTTTAAGTGTCATGTTACCCCATTGCTTTTTTGTTCCCGGTACACATGCTGTGGACGAAAGGAAGTCTTACTGAATGTCAGATTTTTTTTTTCTCCTTTAAGTATCGGTGGCTGGTATTGGCATCCTTCACATTACCCGATACCTTGAAATAAGTTGTATCAGCCAGACTCGATCCCTGGTATTCCATAATTAGTGTCAGAGAACTAATACAATATTGTTGTTGTTTTTTTTTGTAGGGAAAGGTCTGAGAAACGAAGGCATACAGCAAGCCATTGCCCTGTGCAAAAAAATTGTGTCCACCTTCTCGTACTCAAGTAAGAAAAGGAGGGACCTGGCCATTGTTCAGAACTATCTGGGTCTTCCAAACCACATGCTCACGGCAGAGACGCCGACCAGGTGGGGCTCGCGTCAAACAATGATCCAAAGAGTGCTCGAGCAAGAGAGGGCCATTAGTCACGTTCTAAAAGACGACAAGAAATCCAGGCACTTGGTCCCGAGCTGGCAAGATTTGGACGTCCTCGAGGCCGTCAACAAGGCGTTGGGCCCCCTTCAGGACTTCACAGACGCTTTGTCGGGAGAGCAATACGTCAGCGTCTCCTACCTCAAGCCGGTGCTCAAGCTCTTCAACGCCTCCATTCTTGCCGAGGAAGAGAACGACACCCAGCTGACCAAGGACGTGAAGAGAAACATCCTCGCCGACTTGAATGAGAAATATTCCGACACGGTCGTGGACGACCTGCTCGATATGGCGTCCCTTCTCGATCCGCGGTTTCGAACCAAGTACGTCGATGAAGAAAAGGTGGAGCGGGTTCTATCCAGAGTGGTCGAAGAGATTGTGTCACTGATGAAGACTCAGCAGGATGTGGTCCAAGGGGCTGCGGGTTCTGAAGCGGAAGCGGAACCTGATGATCCTCCTAAGGTGAAACGAAAAAAGACCTTGGCCAGCTTTTTCAAAAGGGAGGGCGGCGCAATGACCGAAGAGGAAAGCGTCAGGAAGGAGCTGACCGTCTACTTGCAGACCACCGAGGTGGACAGCGACGTCGACCCTTTCGACTGGTGGAAATGCCACCAGACAAATTTCCCTCACGTTGCCAAGCTCGCGCGGCACTATTTGTGCATCCCGGCCACCAGTGCGCCGTCGGAGAGAGCGTTCAGCACCGACGGCAACATGGTGCCGTGCCACAGAGCTGCGCTCAAACCGGATGCCGTGGACCGTCTGGTTTTCCTGGCTCAAAACTTGTAAATGTTTCAATGACGGTTTCACACATCTGAAAAAAAAATGGGGTCGATCGTGTCATTTTCAGAGGATCACTATTGGATCAAGAAGGTGTGATTTAAAACATTTTTTTTTAAAGGTTCTAAAACAAAATCATCAAGTACAAAGATGTTGCCAAATGGAACAGCAATAGCTTTGGTTTATTTAATGTTTTAAGAAGAACAATAGCAGTCGATAATATTGTTGCCATCATGGTACATCTCGTCCATGAAAACAGAGGATTGACGTACATATGATAAAGAATTGATCGCCACCAGGGGGCAGTGCAATACAGATATACGGATAAACCATAGAGCTGGTAAAACCAGGGCCTGACCAATCGAACGACTGGTTGATTTAATCAGCCGATATTAGCGCTTTTAAAATTGGCAAAATTGTAGAATCTTTCGTGAATTAAAAATGGAGGGGAAAAAATCCCCAGTTTTTTACATTTTTAGACCTTGAAACGTTACAACATAAGAAAAAAAAATGCTGAGAATAACCAACTGCCCCCCCCAAAAAAAAAAAACAGCTAAAATCATACGAATTATAAAATACTAAATGAAAAGTATAATAAAATGGTGAAACGCCCTGCCTGTAATTCATGTCTTTGTTGTTGTAATCATCAAGTGACCAAAAAAGGTATTTTATTCATTATGTATTCTTTAATTAATCGTCATCGGAATTTCTTTTCTGCCGAATCTCAAAATCGGCTTTAAAAAAATCCATATCAGTCGGGCCGAGGCTTCAACCTTCAGTGAGATGCAGGAATGGCCCATTCTTCGCAGAGTTTAAAAAAATATACGTATATGGCTGTGAGTCTTGTGTTGTCGCTCTACACGAGTTGCTCCAGCATTTTTGTTCAAATGTCCGTCACTTGGATTGTTCAAAGACGGTGACTCCGATGCGATCCGGTAGCTGGTTTGTTGCATTTTGTGTTGTGTGTTAGCATTAAGCTATATGGACTTGACTGAAGCAAAGCTGTGAGCTTGTTTTTAAAAAAACACAATGTGCAATTCTCCGGCATGATCAATCAACACTCCATCCCGACTGTTACATTTGCGCAACAGTTGGATTGAGCCTCAATCGATGAGTTATGCCTGGACGGTGTTATTTTTTTCTCACTCGTCGAGCTATCTAAACAGACCGAATTTCTGTTGTGTACAATATATGTGTCGCTCGTTACTTGTGAGCTGAGTTGAGTAAACGGAGTCCGCGCAGTGTGTCTGCGCTCCAAGAATAAGCGTGTGAGTTTTTGTGTGAACAAGAGCAACTTTAGACGCATGACACGTCAGACGCTACACTGACTGTTGGATAAACAACGAATGAAGATGAATGTACCCGCAGCATCGTTGCAACTTACAGTATGTCCATTTTTTTTTGCCACATTTCTTGCTTCAACCCGATGGACATTGTGCTGCTCCTTCTGGTATGGCCACCTGGGAGGAGTTTTCAAACGGATGCTCGGATATACAGTGCGTGAAGGGCATCTCAGCTCCTCAGTAAGCTGCGGTGACAGTCGCTCTTCGTAGAGGATGAAGAAGATATACCCGTGAGTACTGCGTTATCGTCGATGCGGCTGTGTTCAAGACTGGATAAATTGTTTTGTTTCGTTTGAGTTTGTGTTTGTCCTTTCTCTTGTCTCCCAAAGGGTGAACAGCCTATCGTGGGCTCAGTTGCAAGAAGCGTCTTGATTTTGAATGACACGCAAGCAAATTGAGGTATGTATTATCATTGTAGTTCGGTGTCTCGTGTTTACGTGTTATCTTACATGCGAGGTACAAACGGCGGAAGACTTCACATATGATTCCAAGCCAGCCACTGGATAGCACAGGTGTTTATACAAGTCTATAGAACTTACAAGCTACATAAATATTAAAAAAAAACAAAGTCAACCATAGGAACAAAATGTTATCATGTCGTTGCGGTGATGTCGCCAAGTCGTCTCATCAGCTCATCCAGCGTCTCAGTGTTCTGAGACTTCTCTTCCAAAAGCTCGTAGCGGAGGCTGGAGATGTCTTGCTTGATTTCCTTCAGCTCCCCTAAGTCGAATTATCGTTTGGTCAAACGGGGGTCACGTCATTTGCGTCTGGCGCCGCGCGAGCTCACCTTCTGTGATTTCGTCGCTCTCCCGGTCGGCTCGGGCTTTGATGATGTAACGCTTGATCAGACGCTTCATGATCTTCTACGGTTTGGCTCAATATGAGTCTTGTGGAATCCTCCAAAATAAAAGAACGCGTTCTGGTGTTGATACCTGATATCGGGAGGGACTTGTAGACCCGCTGAATGCCGAATGCTTCCCTTCTCCCATCTGAAAATCAAACGGAGAACTAAAACAGCGTGACGGCGACGAAGTTGGATTGTTGATTGTGAAGAAGTCACCTTGTCGAGTTGTGTCTCGCGTTTGTCCTCGCTTTGCCCTCTCGCAAACCGCATCACCAGAGACTTGACGCTTTTGGACAAGCCCAACATTGACTTGGGACTCGGGACCAGGTTGAAAGGCACCGGTAGGGTTCGTCCCTCCTCAAAGTAGGAGAACCACAATTTGGCCCGGGCGAACTTCCACTCCACGTCGGCGTCGTCCTGGTGGAGTGCGAGAGAAATGACACTTTTGACGGCTGCACCGTCATCACTCGAATCCTCACCTGAACCTGCAAACTTTATCCATTAAACTGACCCTAAGCTGGGTTCATTTTTTTTTTTTTTGTGCATGCTTTACCCTCGACGCCATAACAACTTTGACGAATGGCACGACGGCGTGTTTTGTCCTCCTTTTCCTCCCTTATAAATTCTTCCGTTTCTCCCCAGCATAAACATTAGCGAATGTCTCGCGGACTTGGCGTCTGATCCGTGAAAACCTCGATCTCCTGGAAGGAGCTGTTGATCATGGCGATGAGCATGTTGAGCAGCACGATGACCATGGTGACGTTGTAAACGCCGTACAGCACGTAGCCGATGTTCTCGATGAACTTGTGCCCGTTGTTGATGACCACCGAGCGGACCTCGGACAGTCCGAATATGGCCCAGAACAGCGTCTTGAAGCTCTCCTCCAGCCTGTTGTGTTGACAAACCGGCGCCGCAACCGTAACCATTTTTTCATCTCGTTTCGTATATGGCCGTCGGATATCGGAGAAACGTTCGGTGGCTCACGTGGTGAAGGCGTCGTTCTGCTTGACGCCCAGGTAGTAGGAATACAGGTTGAACATGCCGATCATGAAGGCCAGAAACACCAGCAGGAAGATGACCATGAACTTGAAAATGTCTTTCACCGTCCTGCCCAGGGAGATCTGCAGAGGCCCGAAGCTCTCGTTGGCCGGCAGGATGTACGCGATCCGGGAGAAGCTCAGAACCACCGCCACTGCGTACAGACCCTCGGAGACCAGTTGGGGATCCGACGGCAACCAATGGATACGTGCTGCGGAAACAAACCAAAACAGGATGGGATACTGGGTTGGAATACCAGAGGTCTGCGTCCCGTTGCTGGCCAGAAAAGAGGTAAGACCGCTGTCACCCAGCTTAAAGTAGAGGAGCTCTGGAGGCAGCGTGACGTTTGTCAGGTCGGCGTAATGCGCGTCGACGCGAGTCTGAGCAAAGCTGGCGTGCCTCAGGGCGGAAAAGCGACAACTGAAGGACGCCAGGAAGATGGCCAGCATCCCAAAGTCCAGAAAGTTCCACGGTTCCACCAGGTACTCCCCGGGCCCCAGACTCCAGATTTCCTTCACCTCAGTCCAGATCATACCTGTAAACAGGAGGATAAAAGGTGAAGCTCCGGCTCCGTCCGTTTGTCAATTTTCGCTTCTCCTCACTAGGGTAGTGGATCGCTGGAGCCTATTCCAGCTGACTTTGGGCGGTATCTCCCAGAACCTGTCTTAGAAACCCAAACTTTCCCAGTTCTGGATGGTCCTACCCATGACCCACGAGACGATGAGGATCTCCATCCAGGTGAAGGGCGTTGTGGTCATGCGATAGAGCAGCCTTGGGTCCGCGCCCGCTTCTGGCACGTTGTGGTGGGTCATGTTGGGCAACAATGCAGTCCCCGCAAAACGGTCCGCGGCGTTCAGGATCAGCAGGCCCAGGAAGATCGTAAAAGATGAGGCGTGGGCCACAAACTTCATGAAGGGGCTTCTCATCACCCGCCCCACCTGGCTCCGCAAAAAAGAAACACAATCTGAGTTTGGGGGGGGGGGGGAGACATTTGGACGGATGGATTTTTCGATGAGACGCGGAACCTACTCTACTACAAGGCGCGATCCAGTACGCCAAAGACAACCCGGGTAGCCCCGTAGCCACGGCCAGGACCACCAGTAGTTTGACGGCGGTGGTCTGTTGCCTGAGCCCCGGTAGGTTCTCATACCAGATACTGAGTAGCTGCTGTTGGCAGTTAGGATGGGCCACAAACTGAAAAAGAAGAATGATGATCTGGACTGTAGTTAGCATAGCGCGAGCAAATCGAATCAATTTTTTTCTCTCCGGTCTGACCTTTTTCAGTTCATATTTGATGGCTAACTTGAGGCGTGCGAGGGAAGGGCGACCGGGCGGGTCGTAGCTGTCTTCGTAGTCGGTTTCTCCGTTTAGTATGGCCTCTACCTCCTCGGTGCTGCGGCAGAGGTCCAAGAGACCCACCACAAAGTCCTTACACTGGCTGGATAAGCGGCAATAGTCGTTCTACGCACACAAAAAAAAATGTGTGTGGGTTCTATCAATAGATGACTAAGTGAAACGCTCATAGAAACAATCCTTGTACACACACAGACACACACGTCACGCGACCATCGCTCTTGAGATAAGATCGAGGCTCTCGACTCATAGAAACTCCTTGTACACACACGTCAAGCGACCATCGCTCTTGAGATAAGATCGAGGCTCTCGTCCGTCGTTTACGTCTCCCACCGGCCTCATAAAAAGTCACATTTTTACTCACATCTTTAGCAGTCAGTTTGGCGGCGGAGTAGAACATTTTTTCAGCTGTTTATATCCTTGAAGATGAGACGATTTGAACGGCATGCGTATCGTAAAACGGACCTTAAACTCCTTCTCGATGTTGGCTAGCATGGCCAACTCGTTGCTGAGCTCCAGCGCAGCCAGCACCGGATCCTCACTGGACAGGGAGAGGTAAGCGGGACTGGCCAGCCCGCGGTAGGCGTTGATGCGAGAGCGCGAGTGGCTGAAGGAGTCAAACTTCTGCTGGTAGTTGCACGAGTTGCAGCCGCAGAAGTAGTCGTGCGGCGGGTCGATGCGAGCCCCTTTACTGAGGAGCGTGTGGACGATCTCGTATTCCTGGCAGTGCGCCGCCAGGATCACAGGAGTCACGTCTTGAGAGAACCTGAGGTTCGTTATGGACCGGTCAGACATGAGTTTCTTCCTGGACTGAGATCATGCACCGAGTGATCTTGAATGACAGCGGTTGACTTCAGCACTCTTGGGCCGAATCCAGG